GTTTTTGAACTCATATCATGAAATCTCAGATTTTGGAATAAGAAGTTATGATTTTAGCATTCATGTTCTTCATGTTTTTCAAGGGGGTAACCCAGATTTCCAGACTTCATTTGCCTAAGTGTGGTCACCGAGACCACTCTTGCCTAGATCTCACACCTAGGCCAAGCATCGTATCTCACCTTGGCCTACATTGCATGATCACTTGCACCATTAGTCTATCTTGCATGCACACCTCGGCAGGCAGCTGCACACCGAAGCTTAGGTAAACACACCTTGTCCATGAGGTGTGAGACCTCGGCTAAGACCTGGCTGGTACCCAGCATGTTTTCCCGAGATGAAAAACAGTGTTTTAACTCTCAGCACATGTTTTGCTTTGTCTTGACTTGGTTTTGGAAAGAAATGCCGGGATCATTTGCACTTATGTAAAGCTTATTTTGATAATGCATTTCATATCCATCTTTGAGCATCTTTTCGTGTCTTCTTAAAGTGCATTCGATGGGATTTATTATGCATTTGTAGGTCTTGGATTCTTGCCTTAATCCTTACACCCGAAGAGTTATGTGAGTGGTATTTTTAATAAAGTTGTGTTATAATGTTTTGATAAAAGCTTTGCTTTGCTTTGTTTTAGAAAAGTATTTGATCAAGCATGAATGATTATCCCTAGTTTTTGTATCAAGTATTATGTTTGTTTTGATGGCATTCTTGGAACGTCCTTTCGTGCTAGGGGACGTTAAGCTTATGTAGCACCTTTGTTGAGATATCTCTTTTGCCACCGATGGTCTTGTACGGGTGGGTTTGTCTAATCGATCTCGGGTCGGCCACCGACGGTCGTGAACGGGTGTGCTTTGATTCAGAGACGATTATTCCCTTGTTTTGCCACTGACGATTTTTCGCGTGGGTTGTCTAACCGATTTTGGGTCAGCTACCGACGGTCGTGAACGGGTGTGCTTCGATTTCGGGACGGTTATTTCCTTGTTTTGTCCGGAATGTCATCCTTTGGTATTATGTAAATGTTATTAACATCCAAGAAGCTTTGAAAGACTTTGATTGATGAACTTGATTCATTCCATGTTTTGTACAAGTTATTATATATATTGTTTTGATAAAGATCTCGGATATTATTCATTCAAACTTTTATTACTAATATCATTCACTGAGTATCCAAGCTCACCCTCTCCTCATATATATGTAGGCGACGAGCACGAAGGTGATGATGCCTACGATGTTATGTGCACGATGTTTTGATTTATGCTTTGTATTATCTTTAAGATTATGCTTCTTAGTTTGTAACTCATTTCTTTTGTATATGTCGGCTTGATAAGCCTTTTGATCAAGATGTAACATGTACTTTATTTCATTTGTATCCAAGTTGTATAACCATGTTAAGATGTATGTCATTTCATTTGATCTATGCACAGCTCTTATGGACTACTTAGATTTATTTATACTCTGATTGTGTGAATTTTTGTTAGTTGACCTTTGGTAATCTTGGATTATTGGCCATCACGACACCATTCTACTAGGGCCGGAATGGGGTCGTGACAGTATTGTATCTTTATTTCATTATCATCATGAGATGGTTTCATTGCTAGTTATTTTGGGGCGTTACAACTTGGATCATGAAAATTGAAAAATTATATTAAAATTGTGAGTACGAATTTTGTCATATGTCACACGGATGTGAATATTGATTATTAATTGAGAACATTGAGAGGTGTTGATGATTGTATTACATGAGGAAATAATGTTGAGATTGTGGAATTTTGTATAATCGCATTTACATACATTCACTTGCATAGCTTTGAATATTGATTATTATGGCTATGTTTTGGAAATTGAGCTATTGTTTTAAAAAAATAAGTGATGATCTTGAAATGTTTTAGGGTAAATATGTGTGGTAAGTCTCAATAGGTGGCGTAGTTTGGTAATGTTTCAATTGGTCTGAGTGTCCAAGGTAAAAGACCAAAAACAAGCACGAAGTAGGTACCATATGCCTTTTGGTTAGGAGCCAGTAAAGTGGGGATTGGTAGTGCTTGTTATGTCTACTTACAGACACCAACCTAAGGATTATCTAAGTTGTATTTACTACCCCATTTGTACACTTTGAATTTTACCGAGATAATGTATTTTTTAAACGAGCATTGCATGTGGTTTAATAAAGCATGTGGTTTAAAAAAGAACAAAGATATGGATTTTAAAGCATGACATTGCATGGTATTCATGTTATAAGACTGCTTAAAAATATATATATATATATATATATATTGTTAAGATCTTTTTACTAGGGTTTGTGTTCACCCCTAGTGGATTTTTGTAGGAAATGGTGTGGTGATCCCACCCAACTAGAGGCATGGGAAATGTTTTGATAGCATAAGGCACTTTTTCTTTTGTTGTTTATTTTGACAAGCCAAGGGCTTTACATGTATGGTTTTTTATAACCATCTTTTTGTGTAAATGGGGCTAAGCCTTGGAATTTGTAGCCTATGAGGCATTCCCTTGTGTTATTTCATTTGTTTTTAACTATCTCATATGTTATGGATTCATATTTTGAGAAAAATGAATATGTATTGCATGTGAACCCCCCATTTTGTAAATCTCTCACACGATATGGAATACAAACATAGAGATTTTTATCAATAGAATGTTGACTGGAGAATTAAAATTATTTGATTAAATGGATTTATTAGGGTTATTTTATGCCATTTATTTGAGGGCGTTACAGATGGTAGTATTGAATTAAAAGCAAAATATAAAATTTATGTAAAATGTCTTAGTGGTTCATCAGTAATAATACTATAGTTATTTAAGAAGGCATTATTAGAAACATGTACAAAGTTAACAACAACCAAATATTAGAATTCTAATACAATTAGGGTGTATAGAAGCTAATAATTTAAATATATTTTCATATGATCCTATATGTGCACAACATATGCTAGTTAATTATAGGGGTTTTGTGCCTTGTTAATTGCCTTGTTAAGAGTCAAGGAAGATTTCTCCTTCCTGGACTATGACCTCCAACTCACAAAATATATATATAGAATTGTTTGATCTAAATTCATTCTGAGTGACATTCATTTAGGTCACCCTTAATGAATCTATCACATATTGAATTTGTTTGCCTATATTTCTAAAAAATAAAAAAAATAAAAATTTCCGTGCGCATATGTGAACTTGGATTGTCATAATAGAATACTTAATAGGAAATGCTAACCATCGCCATTGGATGGTGATTAATGTTCATATATGTGTAAAAATTATATTAACATATATTAACATATATTTTTTGTTTTTTATTTTTTGTAGACATTAAACAAAGAACTATAAACATAAACGATAGTCCTAAGATTTTAGTTCCCCCAAGATAGAGCTTTGTTCACCACCCTACCCTAACACACCATATAAAAAAGGACAAAAGAAAATATGATAATGGTCCTTATGCTATGTACGGTTTTAGAATCAACTGGAATGAAATCATCATTTCATTATAATGTTATTCTCATATTTGGTTCAATAAAAACTATAAAATATATTTGCAAATAGAAGCAGTATTTATCATTATAAATGAATACTTATTGTTAAGGAATGACCATTTCAAAAGGACAAGACCAATTCTTGGCCAACATGAATATATGATATCCAATATACGGACCATTTTTAAAACCCCAACCTTGAGAACCTTAACAATACACAAAACAATCTGAAAACACTAAAATGAATATAAACCACCATTTGCCTATCTTATTTCTTATACCACATGCTTAAAAGAATTCAAAACACTGCTTGCTAAACCAAAAGAGTATTTTGCCCTTACCAAACATGTACAATTTTTTCTCTATTCTATTATATTTATATACCATATATTCATAAGCATGAAGAGAAAAAAGAGATATTTACTCCACTTCTTCAAAGTTCTTTTTAGAGCTCTAGACAGGATGATCTTGAAAAGGAGCTTGGGGAAGATTAACAGTGTGCGGTTTGATGTCTCTACACCGCATGTAAGTCAAGAACTGACCAGGTAGCTCTTCCAATAGACTCTGAACAATTGAAATGTGTCCACCTGCAGAAACACAAAACAAAACTTACAAGATAAAGTGATAATAGAAGCACAACTGGCAAAATACCAGAAAAGAAATTCCTGGTGAATAGCGAAAACCTCCAAAATGAGAGAGAGAGAGAAGATGAAACAGGTTATATTAGATGTTGGTATGGAAACCTAGCATCTTGTGAATTGCACTAAGGTCCCTTTTAGGAACAGAAATGAAGCTGACTTCGTCATCATCTGAGTTTCAAAACCCAGTTCAGGTTTCTCCTTTTTACTCTTATGTATCTCATATTTTTTTACAAATAATTTACAAAATTACCTTACATTTTAGTTTTTTGAAAAAATAGGCGCAATACAGTATTTCTATATCTTAAATTACATTTATGGCCTGAAGTACCAACAAAAAAACCATACACCCAAAGTATTTTGCCCACCGGATATGTATTTTGCATACGCTTACCCATACCAGGTAACTACCTTGAACTTGTACAACAATATTTTAGAAGCACTTCATAAACAAAAATCTTGAGAGGGAATGAGAATCTCATTAATAGTAATATGATTGCTACTAATAAAAATCTTGTGTCATTGCATCAATGCTATTCAAGTATTTGGTTTCATTAGGAATCCTCAATGAGAATAATAAAATTTTAAATATTGTGAGCCCAATTATTATTTTGTACTCTTAAATGGTCAACATTCGTCTAGGAATGTGAGATTTCCCATAGGAAAGTGGGGGAATCAGATTCCTATTAAATTGGGGAGTGTGATACTTGTTGAAATTGATAATTAATAATCATTTTCCCATTTTGATGTGTTCCAAACACTAGAATCATGGGAATCTGGAATAATATTCCCATTCCCTCTCAAACTTCTTGTCATCCAAACATATCCTAGAGGTTAACAAAAGAAAATAAATACCAGAAATACTAAACTCTCATGAGCACTAAAAAGCCAATTGTGCTAGATTCTAGTATGTGTCCTGCCCAAATGTGGCCAAAACTCTAAACCAAAATATTCTACAGACTTTGAAATAGTAAATCAAATTAAGTAAGAACTCACCATGTACATCACGCATTGGAACAAACTGTACAATGTCTCGTGTAGCTATCCTCCCTGTAGAACTCTCCAATTGATGTCCATTGTCAGCATCAAGGATCTGTCAAATAATGAGAAATTATACCACACCAAACATTGGAGAGAATTTCTGAGGAACAACATTTCACATTTTCAAGAAACGAGTACGGTACTGTAATTACTAATAGAAAAGAGTCCAGGAGTATGTAATGCAAATAATTTGTTACAGAAAACAAGAATATACCTCCATTTGTTTGAAATCTGCACCACCCACTCCAACAATAAGAATGGATAGGGGTAGATCAGATGCCATTACCAAAGCATCTTTAGTTTCTTGGAGGTCAGTAAGGACTCCATCCTGTAGAATTGTTTCAAAATTATTTTATTGCAAAAATAAAGAATAAGAAAAAAGGAAAAAACAGAAAATGAAAATTTATCATTCACCGTTATAATAAGCAAGACAAAATACTTGCTGCTGTCCTGGGAGAGCGAACGACCAGCTATTTCTGCAGCAGTGTTGATCACTTGACCGAATAAAGTGGGTCCAGCAAGTGCAACGTTCCTCAAAGCACTACCATAAGCAGCCATGATGCCTTCTATTCCTTCAACCTGTAAAAAGAAGACGGAATTGACCATCACCTCTGTATATATAAACGGCAGGCCTCACAGATTTTTATGATTTCATTATGGACAATAGCATCATTATCCACATAAATCAATAGCTGGGAAGAGAAGTGCAAGTAGCATACTGCCACTGAAAATTAAGATTACCTCCCCATGTGTGGGTCTGGTATTACAACATATGAAACATACAAGTCAAAGAAAAATGAAACAGCATGACAAATCTGCTCAACATAGCAATTCAAAAAGTGGTATCCTTTCCTTTAGTCTCTGGCAGCAGATAAAAATGAATATAACATAAGCTTCCCTATTTTTATTTTATTTTTGTTTGTATCTACATAGAGTTACAAAAGATAACAATTGTAAGACAATTTATATGCTAAAGTGAGACAATACTAAATTGTGTTCGAAGCTCTTTTATGTCATTAAAATCATATGTAACAGACAATTTAAATGCTAAAGCAAGACATACTAAATTGTGTTTGGCACTCTTTCATGTCATTCAAATCATGTATAATAGAATCGACATTAAAAACCTAACGCCTTTCTAAATGAATGCGGTCGAGTATATTGTTGATTTCACCACCACATTATTCTCCTCTCTACATGTTAGGACTTGTAATAGACACTTGTTATGAGAAATTAATTTCTTTTATTATATTTTGTCCAAAATAATTTAATTTATAAAAATAAAAAAAACACTAGAGGGGATGGCCTTTTTTTATTTATTTATCTGATTCCCATATTTCTAAAGTCTGTATAAATAGTCTGTGTTAAAGTGATATTGACCAGCACAACAGGTCATAAATATTTCCAATTGAATACACCACATAAAAAACAGGGACAAAAGTTGATGCCATAACATTTTCACTTCAGAGCTGAACTTCACCTACTCTCCACCTACTTCTCACCTACTCCATACCTACTACACTCCTCACCTATTCTCTTCCCACATCCTCTCTTCTATATATAGGAATCATTGTAATATATCAATAACATCAATCAATAATACATCAATTTTAACATCAAAGAATCTTATTGACGTGTGAAATCAGAGAAGATATCAAAAAACCTCATCAACAAACATGAAATTGATTGCCATAACTTTTCTTCTTACAATAGACATCATATTAACACTACTACAAAAATAGTTAAAGATCACACTTTGACAAAAAAGAAGATCTCACTTTTATTGGAAGTGTGATAAAAAAAATTAGATTGATATTTTAATCACACTTAATTTGATTGAGTGTGATAATATTTATTTTTTATGTCACTTTTCAATTAAGTGTGATTATATATATATTTTTTTAATCACACCTTCTAATTGAAGTGTGATTATATATACACTACTACTTTTTAATCACACTTTTTAAATAAGTGTGATTATGTATATATTTTTTAACCACACATTCTAATTAAAGTGTGATTATTTATATATTTTTTATTCGCACCTTCTAATTAAAGTGTGATTATATATACACTACTACTTTTTAATCACACTTTTTAAATATGTGTGATTATGTATATATATTTTAACCACACATTCTAATTAAAATGTGATTATTTATATATTTTTTAATCATACCTTCTAATCAAAGTGTGATTATATATACACTACTACTTTTTAATCACACTTTTTAAATAAGTGAGATTATGTATATATTTTTTAATCACACATTTTAATTAAAGTGTGATTATATATACATTACTACTTTTTAGTCACACTTTTTAAATAAATGTAATTATATATATATTTAATCACACTCCCTAAATAGTTGTGATTGCATAAAATATTTGGGATTTTTATTGATAAGTCCAATTTAGAAGTGTTTTAACCCAAGAAGTCCATGAAAGAATTCTTTAACCCATTTAGTTCCATGTATATATAGTTTTATTCCATAAAGTCCATTTTCTTGATTTACACTATTTTCTTGGACACTTAAGCCATTATATTTAATTTTGATACCCTTATAAATATTTTTTCAACGATTAGCAATTTAATGATGTGAACATTCATATTTTAAAATTCACATTTGTAGGAATGTAAATTGGCCCATGGGTGGCCCGAAACCCGCCCGTGAGCCAGGGCGGGCCCGACCCGTTGACAATGTGAATATTCACATTGACATGTTAAAATTCACATTAATAAGAGTGTAAAATTGGCCCCCGTCCCGTGGCAGCGCGAAACCCGCCCACGGCCGATGGGCGGCCCGGGGCCGGCCCGGTCCGGCCCGCTGACAATGTGAATATTCATATTGACATGTTAACATTCACATTGATAAGAGTATAAAATTGGGCCGCGGCCCATGGGCAGCCAAAAGCCCGCCCGCAGCCTGGAACGGGTCCGGCCCGGCCCGTTGACAATGTGAATATTCACATTGACATGTTAACATTCACATTGATAGGAGTATAAAATTAGCTTGCACTTCGTAGCTGCCCGAAACCAGCCCACGGCCCGTGGGCGGGCTCGGTCCGACCTGTTGACAATGTGAATGTTCACATTGACATGTTAACATTCATATTGATAAGAGTATAAAACTAGACAGCAGCCCAGGGCGGGCTCGACTTGGCCTGGCCCGGCCCGGCCCGTTGACAATGTGAATATTCACATTGACATGTTAACATTCACATTAATAGGAGTGTAAAATTGGCCCCCGTCCCGTGGCAGCGCGAAACCCGCCCGCGGCCCATGGGCGGGCCCGGTCCAGCTCGTTGACAATGTGAATATTCACATTGACATGTTAACATTCACATTGATAAGAGTATAAAATTGGCCCGCGGCCCATGGACGGCCAAAAGCCCGCCTGCGGCCCAAGGCGGGCCCGGCCTGCCCCGTTGACAATGTGAATATTCACATTGACATGTTAACATTCACATTGATAAGAGTGTCAAATTGGCCCGCAGCCCGTGGGCGGCCCGAAGCCTGACCGCAGCCCGAGGCGGGCTTGGTCCGACCCTTGACAATGTGAATATTCACATTGATATGTTAACATGCACATTGATAGGAGTGTAAAATTAGCCCGCGCCCCGTGGCTGCCCGAAACCCGTCCACGGACCGTGGGCGGCCCGGGGCGGGCCCGGCCCAGCCTGTTGACAATGCGAATATTCACATTAACATGTTAACATTCACATTGATATGAGTGTACAATTGGCCCGTGACCCGTAGACAGCCCGAAGCCCGACCTCGGGCCAGGGCAGGCCCGGCCCGTTGGCAATGTGAATATTCACATTGACATGTTAACATTCACATTGATAAGAGTGTAAAATTGGCCCGCAGCCCGTGGACGGCCCGAAGTCCGACCGCATCCCGAGGCGGGCTTGGCCCGACCCATGACAATGTGAATATTCACAAT